GGGTGTGGGGGGGGGGGGGGGGAACTGTGCAACTGCAGCCAGAGAGAGGAGTGAGAATGTGAGAGGAACAGCCGTGCAGACCCCCAGGTCAGTGCAGAAGGAGGGGGAGGAAATGCTGCAGTCGCTGGAGCAGACATTCCCCTGCAGCCCGTGGGGAAGACCATGGTGAGGCAGGCTGTCCCCCTGCAGCCCATGGAAGTCCACAGTGGAGCAGATATCTGCCCGTAGCCCGGGGAGGACCCCACGCTAGAGCAGGTGGATGCCCAAAGAAGGCTGTAACCCTGTGGGAAGCCTGTGCTGGGGCAGGTTTGCTGGCAGGACTTGTGACCCCGTGGAGGACCCACACTGGAGCAGTCTGTTCCTGAAGGACTGCAGCCTGTGGAAGGGACCCACGCTGGAGCAGTTCATGAAGAACTGCAGCCCGTGGGAAGGACTCGGGTTGGAGAAGCTTGTGGAGGACTGTCTCCCATGGGAGGGACCCCACACTGGAGCAGGGGAAGAATGTGAGGAGTCCTGCCCCTAAGGAGGAAGGAGCAACAGAGACAACATGTGAGGAACTGACCACAACCCCCATTCCCCGTCCCCTTGCGCTGCTGGGGGGAGGAGATAGAGAACTCAAGAGTAAAGTTAAGCCCAGGAAGAAGGGATGGGTGGGGGGAAGGTGTTTTTTAAATTTGGGGTTATTTCTCATTATCCTACTCTGTTTTGATTGGTAATGAAATAAACTAATTTCCCCCAGTTGAGTCTGTTTTGCCCGTGATGGTAATTGGTGAGTGATCTCTCCCTGTCTTGACCCACAAGCCTTTCATTATATTTTCTCTCCCTCGTCCAGCTGAGGAGCTGAATGACAGCGTGGCTTTGGTGGACACCTGGTGGCCAGCCAGGGTCAACCCACCACAATTGAACACTTACTTGGAATAACAAATTCTTGATATGTGTGTTTAACTAGATAATTGTTTCTAATTTGCTGTCTAAGTGTTCAGAACCAGGATTTAAACTTTCAAGCTAGCCACCATTTGCAAAATTTCACTTTTGCCACTTGAAAGAAGTTCAGAAGCGTGTGAGAACATAATTAGCTCACACATTTTTGAAGTAATCATACTATACTTTATCACAATGAAAAAAATAATTGTTTGCTTTTCTTATAAAATTTTAGGTTGGTGAAATCCTGCTACTTGATCATTGCAGCCATTACAAATGTGAAATAATTGAAGATCAACTTGTTGCAGTCCAAACTAAAAAAGTATGCCCCGAGTACAACCCAGAAGAGTGCGATCCTGTAAGTTTTAATCAACTCTTCACTGATTGAATGCAGTTTAAAAGAACAAGGGGGAGCAAGGAAGAATACAACAAATCACTTTCACTAAAATTGCAGGAATGTCTTAAGAATGAAGTTAATCTTGCTGTAACATTAGTAATAAGAAAAGCTTAGTGTTTTTACATGAGGCTACAAGGATTCAAGACTTCTGTGGTGGGGACAGTAAGTCATCCATTGTTTCATTCAGTGTTCATCACAGAGGAGCCTTCTGTCCAGTATCAGTAATGTTAACTCATATTCTTACTCAGATTGTCATCTGTGCATTAATACAAACCCTCCTTTATTTTTGCAAAGGATGAAGCAGACACTACTCCTGATGGCTGCTGCAAAATATGTAAACGTAAGTAATGCTGTGTTCGTGTTTTCTGCTTGAAGAGCGCTGTATTCAACTTCTATCTTTGAGTGGATGGAAGGATTCTTCACACACACACCCCCCCAATTTTCACTTATTCTATTTATCAAGACCTTGTGGTTCACTATTTATTCAAAAGGAAAAAGAAAATTTGTTTTCCTGATATAGAATACCACAACACCAACCACCAATGCTCAAACCTCTGCATTACCTTCCAAAGACACTGTACAGCTGACATCAAAGAATAACCTGAAAACTCCAGATACATTACACAGTATCCCCACCATCACATACTACAGATTCTCAATAATCAGACATCATGCACTTTGAAATTGTTTTAGCATTCATTTCATCCAGAACTAGAAATCTGAAGTATATGTTTCCCCCCCCCCCCCTTTTTATGAAGGTAGAAACTGCAAACCTTACAGCAAAAAAACTGTGATTCGCCACGGTAACTGTGAATCTGCTGAACCTGTTGAGCTGGCATACTGTGAAGGAACTTGTCCGGGCTCCTCAGTGTAAGTTCCAAAAACTTAATTTAACATCGCTATGGCTTCATTTATACTGGTCTGTCAAGTTAATCAATCACCCAAGGGTACTGAGGGAGCTGGCAGAAGTGCTCACCAAGCCACTTTCAATCATTCGTCAGCAGTCCTGGCTAACCAGGGAGGTCCCAGTTGACTGGAGGTTAGCAAATGTGACGCCCACCTACAAGAAGGGCTGGAAGGAGGATCCAGGGAACTACAGGCCTATCAGTCTGACCTCAGTGCCAGGGAAGGTTATGGAGCAGATCAGCTTGAGTGCCATCACACGACACGTACAGGACAACCAGGTGATCAGGCGCAGTCAGCATGGGTTTGTGAAAGGCAGGTCCTGCTTGACTAACCTCATCTCCTTCTGTGACAAGGCAACCTGCTTAGTGGAGGAGGGAAAGGCTGTGGATGTTGTTTCCCTGGACTTTTGGCACCATTTCCCACAGCATTTTCCTGGAGAAACTGGCTGCTCAAGGCTTGGACGGGCATACTCTTCACTGGGTAAAAAACCGGCTGGATGGGCAGGCCCAAAGAGTGGTGGAGAATGGAGTTAAATCCAGCTGGCAGCCGGTCACAAGTGGTGTTCCCCAGGGCTCAGTATTGGGGCCAGTTCTGTTTAAGATCTTTATCAATGATCTGGAGGAAGGCATCAGGCGCACCCTCAGTAAGTTTGCAGATGACACCAAGCTGGGTGGGAGGGTTGATCTGCTGGAGGGTAGGAAGGCTTGACAGAGGGATCTGGACAGGCTGGATCGATGGGCTGAAACCAACTGTATGAGGTTCAACAAGGCCAAGTGCCGGTCCTGCACTTGGGTCACAACAACCCCATGCAACACTACAGGTTTGGGCAAGAGTGGCTGGAAAGCTGCCTGGCAGGAAAGGACCTGGGGGTGCTGGTTGACAGCCGGCTGAATATGAGCCAGCAGTGTGCCCAGGTGGCCAAGAAGGCCAATGGCATCCTGGCCTGTATCAGAAATAGTGTGGCCAGCAGGACTAGGGGAGGGATCATCCCCTTGTACTCAGCACTGGTGAGGCCGCACCTGGGGTACTGTGTTCAGTTTTGGGCCCCTCACTATAAGAAAGACATTGAGGTGCTGGAGCGTGTCCAGAGAAGGGCAACCAAGTTGGTGAGGGGCACAAGTCTTATGAGGAGCAGCTGAGGGAACTGGGGTTGTTTAGCCTGGAGAAAAGGAGGCTGAGGGGAGACCTTATTGCTCTCTACAACTACCTGAAGGGGGGTTGCAGCGAGGTGGGGGTCAGTCTCTTTTCCCAAGTAACAAGCGATAGGACAAGAGGAAATGACCTGAAGTTGCACCAGGGGAGGTTTAGATTGGATATTAGGAAAAATTTCTTCACCAAAAGGGTTATCAAGCATTGGGACAGACTGCCCAGGGAAGTGGTTGAGTCACCATCCCTGGAGGTATTTCAAAGACGTGTACATGTGGCGCTTTAGGGACATGGTTTATTGGTGGACTTGGCAGCATTAGGTTTATGGTTGGACTCAATGATCTTAAGGGTCTTTTCCAATCTGCATGATTCTATGATCACAGAATAGCAACAAAGTTAATGTGTTCATAAGATTTCATTGAGTGGAACCAGACTCAATGGAAGCAAGAACAGTTTTGCTACTGAAGAGACAGGTAATTAAAATCACATTCATAAGTGTCTGTGGGAGGGAGGAAGAGAAGATGTAAAAAACCCCACCCCCAAAACAAAAGTCAGCAGGGGCTTTCTGTATGTTAGTTTTTAATAAGATCTATTTTCTTTTCCTGGCGGAACACAGGTATTCTCTTGAAACAAACCAGATGCAACACGAGTGTAGTTGCTGCCAGGAGTCCAGCAGCCAAACAAGAGAGGTGACCCTGACTTGCAAAAATGGAACAAGCATAAATTATGACTACGTCTACGTGGAAGAATGCCAGTGTATGAATGCATGCACTTCAGAAACCTCTGCAACATATGGCTCCCAACTGAAGAAATCCACTGCATATGGTTCCCAAAGGAAAATCAGCAGAAAAGAGATGATCAGTGGAAAATGAAAGCAGAGACCCTAGGGAAACTGGAATCATATTTTCCACAGAATAACTTCTGCTCCTTCTTTAACCAATCTTCCATCAGTTTCTCTTATCACCTTTTCTCTCTTGTAAAAAAAAAAAAAAGTCAAATAATTAAATCTTGGTGTTTTGGGGTTTTTTTTGGTTTTGCTTTTTTTGTTTGGTTGGTTTTTTAAGTGATACAATATTCAAGGGCAAACATAGATGACTGTGTAAGATACCTTTGTGTAAGTTACAGAAATATGCAAATATGTTTCCATTTAATCACAAACCCGACATTTTTGGAAAAAAGGTTTAAGGGGGTCTCTAAAAACCAAAACCAGAAAATATTGTAGCTACATTGCACTTAACTCTTGTTCCTAGAGAAAGCTTTATTGCATATCATTTTTATGGAGGTAATGGTCCTAAACACACATCACAGTGACAGGGAGAAGACTGGTTTCTTGTTCATTTTGCCTCTTATTTGATCAATAAAACTTTCAGCATTTTTCAATTTCGGTGACTGGTGGCTGTTCGATACCCATTGTCATTATCTAAATGACAGTGAGTCCAATGGCATCAGGGAGTTTTCTAATGCAGATGGGTATATTCTCTAACAGCCTTTAGGAACAAAGACATTCTCAAAACCCCTTTCCTGGATAAGGTTAAATTCTCTCACTCAGGTCTAAATAGCTCTGCTCACTGGCGTAAGAGGTACAGAGATTAAAAAAAAAAAACCCTCATTTGCTCACTGTATTCTACTTGCGAAGATGGTGGGATAACAGGTAGGCTGTAGTTTGTTTTCCCTGTAATTAGTGGAGAGGTCCAGGAGACAAGTATAAAAAAAGGAGGAAGGGAAAACTTTATTCATCACTACCATTTCATGTTCTAGATCAAAAAGTATCTGGCTGCAGAAATCAGCACCTGCTTCTTCAGTTGAAAAAACAAATCTCTATATGAATGAAAGCTCTAATTAGTTGAAGAATACTTAAGGTGATGTCAATGAACTTGGTAAAAATCAGAAAATGCTCCTGCCCATAATTTTAACAATATTTGCAAGTAAGTTCAGGATATGTTTTTAAACTGTGCATTTGTTTCCTGTGCTATCTAAAGCTTTTGAATGGATTTACACTAGTAAGGAAATTGGCTGCCTTTTCCCACAGTAGTTCATCATGTTTACCTAAACTGTTTGGAGCACTTACCTTATCAGTAGCTGTTATAATACAAAGCCTGAAATCTGCCCTGAAGGCTTGGCTGAAAAATAAAGGAGGAACTGTTTGATCAAATAATTGCACATTTTATACAGGCTCATTTAGAAGTGACATTCAATTCCTGAATGAAATCAGTAGATCCTTCACAGGCATGACCTGATATCACATTAGGATTAACCAGTGGGGAGAAGTAGGCAGGTTTGTAAGCTTTGCATTTTACTGCTGAACTCCATTCATCTCTTGCCTACCCAGTGTTGGCCTGTCCCACATCAGGTACACAGGTTCCAGGCAGGGTTCCTAGCTATGACAGTGGAGCAGACAGCTGTACCACTCCCTGCACCTTCTCTGACTCAGCAATAAGCCATTTTTCTTTGGGAACCTGGGCTGAAGCCAGACCAGCTGCGCACCACCAGTTTTACAGTTTCACCACTGCCTCCTCAGGCCCTGAACACCAGGTATCACTCTGAGGAGACATCCAAACAGTCCTGAACAGGCTGACTAGTGGGTCAAGCAGTTTGACTGCTTCAGCATAGCTTCCTGGGTTTCTGGCTTCCAGAGGGTTTAGCACTTCAGGCATAGCACCATGAGAACAGAGAGTGCCTGATGGGATCTAGAACTGTACCGCAGTGGAAAAATACAGGATCTAGAACTGCACCGCAGTGGAAAACCAGCACGGCTGGCTGTAGGAGGTCTTCCTAAGTGAGAGGCATTCACATATGCCAGCCACATTAGGCCTGGCTTTATAATGGAAAGCTAGCAATATTAATCCAAGCTAGACAAATTAATGCCTGCAGAGCTGATTCATCAGGGTGCAAAAACCCAGTGACACTTA